TAAATCAACTGAAGATGCATTTAAGAAAACTTTTGAGACAAATAACATGTAAATATAATTCCTCCATGCTCCAGATTCTTTGCCATTCTTCCCAAATCTGAGTATAGATATATGCAATACTAGCCTTAGGAATGGGTCTGCCATTTGTTCTCTCAATATGGCTGCTATTCCTGAGCATCAGTAAACTGCCTGCAGGTGCTTAGTGAAAAGGATGAATATGAAACTATGGTGCCATTATCCTTAACAAAGCCTATAAAACATATCATTGCACTTTCCCTCCAACTGTACTCTGCTCTCCAAGTGTCCCTCCCTATGAAGATGGTCTACCATACACATGAAGATATGTCTTGTGGAACTCTTGTGGTGGAGCGACATGTTCGCTACCCTTAATTAAATTGAAGAATGCAACATGTCACCCTTGCTGCTGTTATGCACAATAAACTTCTAATAATATGTTTAAAAACCTGCTCCTTCTCTTCTGCTTCAAAGTGCATATAATCATTTTGCCTTTTACATTCCTTTTTTATGCACAGGTAGAACCATTTATGTACCATGGGATGTGGGTGGCGATGTGGGTTGAACCACAGACCCTAGGGCTTGCCAATCAGAAGGTTGGCAGTTTGAATCCCCATGACGGGGTGAGCTCCTGTTGCTTGGTCCCTGCTCCTACCAACCTAGCAGTTCGAAAGCACATCAAAGTGCAAGTAGATAAATAGGTACCGCTCTGGCGGGAAGGTAAACGCCGTTTCCGTGCGCTGCTCTGGTTCACCAGAAGCAGTTTAGTCATGCTGGCCACATGACCCGGAAGCTGTACGCCGGCTCCATCGGCCAGTAAAGCGAGATGAGCAACGTAACCCCAGAGTCGGCCGCCACTGGACCTAATAGTCAGGGGTCCCTTTAACTTTAGAACCATTTACAATGTATCAGCAAGTGCATTCCATAGTTTTAGTCACTTTTGAATTCTATCTGTAAAGTGTTAGATGAGTCAAGAGAAACACAAAGGATACAACAACATCATACTCCAGCGCTGTTGTTCTTTGCCCACTGAACACAGTCAGTAAATATGCATAGGATCAGGCTCCCACGTCATTTATTTTATTTTTTATTTTTTGGGGTAGCTTACTGATGGTACGTAGAAAACAGCAAAAAGTCTGTGTGTTTTACCAAGCAGGCCTTTAGCAAATTGTTTGCCACAGTTCACTTCCCTGGTGCCTGGTTTGCAGTAGCACTGATGATAAACACAGGGATTACATTTTTAAAAATCCATACGCCTGCTGTCACAGTCAGTAATCACACCTTTAGGTACATGGTTCATTATTGAGCCTGTCTGTCAAATAAATTCTTTCACCATCCGAAAAGAGACTTGTTTCTCCAATCGTTAATTCTGTAGACAGCAAAGATTCAAGATAATCTAAAAAGGTATTGATGACTGCGTACCTACTATTTATATGAGTGAGACAAAATTCTTTTTGTTCTGCTCTTACCTTATTTCCCATTCCATCACCTTCTGAGCATTGTATGGTGGCAGCTGTAGAGTTGGTTAAATGGCTGGTGGGCAAAGAAGCAGAAAAGACCCCCCCCCAAAAAAAAAACAACCCTCCCAGCATTGCCAATTGACCAGATCAAAGCTAAACAGTGACCAGCAGTTTGAGCTACTCCGAAAAAAATCAATAAGTGAAGCTGCTTTTTCACAGCATGGAGATAAATATTATCACCTGCCTGCAGATGATGTTGCTTTATAAACAAAGTAGTAGGAGCTGATTAAAGATTTGGCAGCCCTACATAGCAAAGAAGAGTTACAAGAGCAATTTTGGGTGAGGAGCTTCCTTGGGCTTGGTTACACAAGATTAGGGATTAGTTGTCACAGCATTTCTGTTCTGTCTGAGAGCTTCCAACATGCCTGTCTGCACAGTTCATTTGCTCCAAAAGCTCTGGAGCTCACCTGAGCTATGCACGATGAGCAAAGGATGCAGGAGGAATTCTATTCTGGTGAATCCTGATATGAACTGACCTGGTCTGCACCTCTTGGAGTAATCTGTCGATCAGAACATAGCTGTCTATCAGATTTGCTCTGCGGCGACACGTTTCTTGTCTTCTTTTTTAAAGTGCATTTCAAAATATATATTTTGAGAAATCCTAGCTTTAGAAATGAAATGCTTATCTGGAGAAGAAATGTGTCTTTGAAATACTATGCAAATATGCATGCAGATCACAGATTAATGTGGAAACAGGGTGGAACAGAATTATGAGTGAGCACAGTAAGGAAACAAGCTGATTCATCCATCCCTGAGCTAGCTCAGGGCCTGAACACTACCACAGAGTCTTAAACAAACATCCTTTGAGGGGTTTTACAGCTGTGTCTGAGGTTTAATGTGCAGAGTTTAACTGAAAAATAAATAAAATTTCAGGAAGCCGTGGAAAATGCACTGAAAAACGGAAGTGCTTTTTGGCAATACAGTGGTACCTCGGGTTAAGTACTTAATTCGTTCCGGAGGTCCGTCCTTAACCTGAAACTGTTCTTAACCTGAAGCACCACTTTAGCTAATGGGGCCTCCTGCTGCTGCCGCGCCACTGGAGCATGATTTCTGTTCTCATCCTGAAGCAAAATTCTTAACCCAAAGTACTATTTCTGGGTTAGCGGAGCCTTTAAGCTGAAGCATATGTAACCTGAAGTGTATGTAACCCAAGGTACCACTGTAATGAAACTGAAAACAAAACCAAAGACACTGTTTCAGCTCAGCTCTGCACCTGACTCCTACAGTACTGCCCTATTTCGATCCGCTACATTTGCATCAAAGTACAGCAGAGAAGAGGTTGTCAGCTCCCTCCTCTGGTAAGCTAACCTTGTGGCACAGAGCATGTGATTCCTGGGAGGGACCCACTGTAAGAGTCTGCAGTTTGAGGAAACGCGGCTGCATTCATCCTTTGGCCTAGTCAAACAACATTTTGTGATTTTGAAAAACATCTCTGTGTTGTAAGCATGTAAAGCGTGCAATCCAAATTAACTGCAAACCATTCATTGTATTTTTAATTATAGAATGCAGTTCTACCATGTGAGGTTTAAAAAGATTAGACTCTAAGGCTGCTTGGGGGTGTTGGCACATGCACCCAATATGCTCATCCAAGTTTGAGCGAATGGTAATGAAATTAGAAGGTCAGAGGATGCTGGAGATTTCATTCAAGCAGCTAAAGGTGCTGCTTTTGTGTTTGTGTTTTAAGCAAAGAAGAAGAAGAAAATATTGAAATGAAGCAAAAGGAGGGTGACAAGGAAAGGAGCTGCGGTGGTTCCTTGAAGGGCTGGTGCAGCAGGAAAAGCAGTTGTTTTGTGCAAGCCTATTGTTCCCTTGAAATGTGCCCAGTTCTTTTGATTGCATGACCTTGATGAAATTAGCAGCACTATTGTGACTCACACTACTGACAGCGCTGACAGCTTTCGGTCTCTTCATCACACACTTACGACAACTATTCCACGTAAAGGATTTTACTATCAAGAGATTTGTGGTTTTTTTTAAAAAAAGGTGTTCTCACTTCTAGTCTAAAGGAATAAAAGATGTATGGGAAGAATAATGTCACTGAGCATGTATGCTACCCCAGCAGAACAGCGGGGGAGGTCGTCTCTAAACTCCCAAATTTGAGGGCACTCTCATAGGCTTTATTAGAGAAAGTGCAAAATTTCCAGAGGGGTTTTGATTCTGCCTTGATGGCTCACTGAGTTGTTCCTAAAGTTAGAAAGGCTGTCAAAATGTATCAGGTGAACATGCACTGTAGACTATTAGTAAATATAATCGTCATAAATGTGGACTTTCCCTTTTTTGAAAAGGGGAAATGGAAAATGGAAATGGAAAAGGAAAAGAAAAGAAAAGAAAGAGTAGAAATTAATGTCTAAAAAATAATTATTGGTGTAAAGATCCTTGCACTTCATAATTTTTCCACTATACGCCCCCCCTAATTTATTCCAGATTCATATATATTTCTACTGGCTAGAGACGAATGCACAAATAATCTACTTGTTTTACCACCAGGAGGGCTATATTATGTCTTTCACTATCCAGCTTTCCCCACAATGGATTCACCCTCGACGCTCACATCTCCAACTATTGTGTTTGTTCCTGTTCATTCACAGTTACTATCAGCTATCCCAGTTCTCATAGTGTATTACACTACAAGCTCCCAATATACATTTGCATCACTCTTGGATATTATATGTTTATCATTTGCACATTGTTTTGTGATATTTTGAGACATATTCATACCCTTTTGAAAAACTTGATATATGAAATAAGAAACAACGGCGAGTTTCATAGCTCAGGAGTGATGTAAGTCCTCTGTCACCTGATGCATTCTTATTACTACACTGCACTGGCCCTAGCAGCCATTAAAAAAAAAAACCTTAGGAACAAAGGAGGCAACTCCTTATCCAGGAGGATTTGCCTTTTCTCTTCTTTGCCCCACAGCTGAAGCTGCTGAGTTCATTGAAGAATGTCAATGGCATGCCATACAACAGTATATTGTAGTCCCCCAAATATCTCTCCAGAGTTTTGGGAAAGTACTTCACGCACATGTTCTGTTAGGCTTATATAAGGTCAGGCTTATTTCTTGTCCATTAATACTAATTGAGAACAGAAGAAACTGAATTATTATATAATAATCTTCTTACAGGAAAGCAAATTACCTCTGTAAATATAAATCTGCTCTTTGATTGTACAAAAGAATACATGTTTGAATCATTTAAGCTTTATTCTCTGTAAATAATTAGTGTTTCAGGACTGTGACCATTTCTTTCCAAATTGATGGATTAATATTTGTAATGCAATTTAGGTTTTAATACAGTATTATGTTCAGTGACTAAACAGTATAAGGTTGAAGCCAGGGATGAGTAATATAATCAAGGACTCCAGGGAGTTAAGTTCATTTAAAGGATACAGCTAGTAAATTCCATATTATTCAACCAAATGAAAGGTAGGAGCTAAAAACACTAACTACTTTTGGTTTTACTTTAGGATTATCGTGTGAACATCTTTCTCCGTCAGAACTGGAATGACCCCCGTCTTGCTTATAGTGAATATCCAGATGACTCTCTAGATTTGGACCCATCCATGTTGGACTCTATCTGGAAACCTGACTTGTTCTTTGCCAATGAAAAAGGCGCCAATTTTCATGAAGTAACAACAGACAACAAATTGCTACGGATTTTTAAAAATGGAAATGTTCTCTATTCCATCAGGTAAATTGCAAATAAAAGGCTCTGATGTGATATGGAAGCAATGAGGTTATGATTTAGTTTGGATGCGGTACACATTCCCTTAATGAAAACAGTCACTGCATTCTCTTGCTGTGGATTGTTCACATACATAGATACAAGGACATAGGCTGATTTCTCTAAGTCATCCATATGTAATTCAATTGGTGAAATAACTGGAGGCTGTTTAAAATGCCATGGTTCCATGTAGAGGCCATTTCTTTCAATTGCACACAGAGGTCTCACTGCTGAATTTTCTTCTGAAAGCAAAAAACCCCAAACAACCCATTATTTTTAGTTTTATTTACTGCTTCTAGCCTTCTATTAACAAACTAAAGCTTATATGTGGGAGAAAAGTGTTGTGCTAATAAGAGTTGTGTCTCTTTTTTTAGGGACAAGTCTTTTCTCTGGTAAAGTAGTACTGTTGAATGGAAGTCTTAGATAAATGTCTACTCTGAATTCCTTACTTCATTTCAGTAACAGTTCAGTGATTATTCACTTCTAGATGTCTAGAGATTTGTAATATTTAATTTCTCGTATATTGTTGACCATAATAGATCAGCAGTTACCAAAATAAGAACAAAAAACATGATGTAAGAAAAGCCCTGCAGGATCAGGCCAAATCTTAAACAGTCCAGCATCCAGCTTCAGCAGTGACCAACCAGATACCTATAGGAAGGCTGCAGGCAGAAGATGAGGGCAATAGTTTCTCCTACTGTTGCCTGATATTGATGACTGATACAGTGGTGCCCCGCAAGACGAATGCCTCGCAAGACGAAAAACTCGCTAGACGAAAGGGTTTTCTGTTTTTTGAGTCGTTCCGCAAGATGAATTTCCCTATGGGCTTGCTTCGCAAGACGAAACATCTTGCGAGTTCTTACGAGTTTGTTTCCTTTTTCTTAAAGCCGCTAAGCCGCTAAGCCGTTAATAGCCGCTAAGCCGCTAAGCCGTTAATAGCCGCTAAGCCACTAATAGCCGTGCTTCGCAAGACGAAAAAACCGCAAGACGAAGAGACTCACGGAATGGATTAATTTCGTCTTGCGAGGCACCACTGTACTCATAGGCATGTTGCCTCTGATCCAGGAGGCAGCATGTTACTAGTAGCTATTTACAGCTTTGTCTTCATGAAGTTGTATAATCTTTTAAAACCATCTAAGCTGGTGGCTATCTAGTGTTAGTGAAGTCCATAGTGTAAGTATGCAATGTGTGTTAAAAAGAAGAAGTCTTCCCCACCATGTGTGGATGACTCAGTTAAGCATATGTAGCAGATAATAGTAGTTTTAAGAGAACTATGAAAACATTTAAAGTGAAGTCAAATAAATAAGAGCTGTGCAGAATTGCCTTTTCCCCCTCCATGACCACAATCATGTAGCAGCAGCAGCATAAAATCAATTAAACTGATAAAGTTCATTGGAACTGAAGTAACTATCAAACCTGGGTTTGAAATCTCTGCCAGATGTTTCTCGGGTTCTTGGTTCAAGACCTGACTTGGACCCAAGTTCTGACCATGATCCAGAAAGTTAACCACCCAGTAATAGCTGCCCCTTGGTCAGGTCTCAGACACAAAGGGACTTTTCCCTGCTGCCTTTATGAAATGGGAGACACACACAGAGCCAATTCTGGCACTACTCTATGTGTAGATCATTGTACAACGTTGTGCAAAGTGTAACATTGTTTAGATTTCACCCCTTCTTAGATAGTTCCTCCCCGGGGGGGGGGGGGACCAAAAACAACTCTGTGAATGTTGTTTTCCAAAGGTCCCTCATTTTCACTCTTGCTAGGGGATTCTTCCATTAACTCATTCTACCTTTCTAGCACCTGTGGACAGAGGATACCAGTGCAACACTTTCACTGAAATCATAAAGGATCAGCTTTCCTTGTAGGAAACAGAAGGTTTCCTCCAGCAGGCTCAGAGGGCTTTTATTTGAAAGACTTAAATTGCTGTTGGTTGTACTATCACAAACAACTAATATGGACTTGCAGGATTAGGGTCTAGGCTGCAATACAATTTGATCAGGGCAGGAATTGTATTTAGAAAATGCTATGGTGAAAAACTTGTTTACTCAGGGGTAAGCTCCATTTATTTTCATGGGGTTTACTTCCAAGTAAGGTAGAATTGAAAACCTTATCCCCCCCCCCGAATTAAACATATTGACTTCATATTATTTTCCAAATGCCTAAATCGTTTGTACACCTGCCTGCTTTCCAAGACTTGTTCTTTATTGCATAATGGATGTGTGTGTGTAGTAATTTTGAATATGAGACAATGTGTGTTGGCCAACATTCACTTTATAATAGTTCTTCTGTATTCTTTCAGATTGACTTTAATACTCTCCTGCCCAATGGACCTCAAAAATTTCCCAATGGATGTCCAAACATGTATCATGCAGCTGGAAAGCTGTAAGTGTGAACATAGTATTCTCATGTTCATAGCACATAGTCCTGTGGCACCTTGAAGGCAACTTAAGTACTGCAGCATAAGCTTTCATAGGCAAAAGCTGCCTTCTTCAAATGCATCATGTATCATGTTGATGTTATATGGATCAAATATTATAGGCAGTAATGGGTGAAATCCAATGGTATCCATGCAGAAGTGGAATGGACTTCCCTCTGCACAATCAGACCTTCCTCTCCTTCTGCTTGTAGGACCCTCCAAAGCTAATTTGGGGAGCATGAGGGGTTGCAGGGGAAGAGAGAAAAGGGAAGTCTGATTGAATGAGCAGCAGTCTAGTGGCCAAAGTTTGTGAATTATGCCAAAAATCAATCCTAAATAATTATAATGATCCCCTTGTTTCGGGATCAGAATACACGTTTCTCCATGAAGAAAATACTCATCTCCCCAACCTCTTTGAACGATACCCCGAATTTTGGAGAGTGGAAACACAGTCACTGATGCCTTCTTTTTCATGTTTTCTATGTTATAGCCAAACTGCCCCGCTACTGGTAGTTACCTGTAATGGTCCTGATATGGGGCAGCAGAAAATTACAATTATTGGGTGATATATATTGTATGCATGTGAGATTTATATTAACAATAGTGATCGTCCTCTAGTCAGACTAGAATAAGCAGGGTGGAATGTTAAACCATAGTATGCACTTGTTTTTCTCAGTGGAACTTGGGTCACACTGAAAAGCATGTGTGATATATGTAGCTCCTAGAATTCTACTCTTCAAGTAGAGCCTTGTGCATTTGGGCCTGCTAAAGGCATGTTATTGGGTTGCCTTGCAGAAAAGTAGTAAAATCACTGCAGTCAACATTTTGATATTTTTGAACCACAGCGGGATTCCTAGAGATCCGCTCAGCTTCAGTCAGCAAAGCAAAGCTGCTCTGGAACATGTGCCCTAAATAGTAATTTGTAAAAAAATAATGAGAACAGAACTCAAATAAGTCACTTCAGCTCAGAGAACTATAAGGCAAAATGTCTAAACCAATCGAGCTCTTTGTGAACAAAAGCTTCCTATACAAAAACACTATGGAGCCTTCCATTGTGCTGAGGGCACTTTTGTGTATATGATAAAACTAAGAGAGGGGGTGGCATCCAGCAATAAATGCTGGTCATTCTGCAGAATGGAAAAGTAACATTGAAAAATAAAATTAAAGATTTCTTCCAGTTTCCCTTTTTTCTATTTTAAGGCCACAGAGTCCATCCCTTGTATTAGTTATCGACATGTAGACTAGACTAGGCTTTGTGGGACACATATAGGTCACCAATTTCCCTAGTAAAGCCCCTCACCATAGTTCAAGGCCTTTTCCTCCGTATGATCATAATCACATGGAGGAAGAGAATGGAGCTGTGCCTCCTGCCCCCACTATATCCTTAGCATTTCCACAGATCACATACTCCTGGTGGCTACGTGTTGCTGGGTGGGATATCTGAAGAAAGAGCCTGCTTGCCTCCTGTGCTTTAGAACCTCTGTCACATATAGAATAGGCGCCACTCTTCAGACACTACCCCAACATGTGGGCAATGGAGGGGCAGGCCACAAAGATGGCAGCAGGACAAGTGGATGCGTCTCCACTGCCTTCCTCCACAGGAATTGGATTGTGTGGAGACAATGCCTGAAGAGGGCTTGTTTCTTATCCAGGATGACTGGGCTGCAGGTGCCACATAGTCAAAGCTTAGGGATAAGTAGGGTTACTATGTGCCTCTTTTTCCAGGACTCTTCTTTTTCAGGGGTTAAATTTCTTCTGAGTGGATTTTTCAAATTTGCCAAAATATATCTGTCTATACTTTTTGGATGAGACGTAGACATAACTGGTGGTTGAAAACTTGCTTTCCTCTTCTCTTCTCCTACCCACCCTCCTCAGCAATATATCACAACTTCTATAGACTAAATATAGTAGGGGTATTTAAAATCAGAGTTGTCAGAGTGCCCTCTTTTTTTGCTCTTCAAAATATGGCAATCCTAGAAAGTAGGCTGGAGAAATAAGACTTTGATGCCCATGGGTGATATTTTTGCTATGTAGGCATCATGCTACAAGCTTATTATCCAAGTCTGTCCTATCATACTGACTGTTAATCATATCCCTATTGGTTCTACCCTGTATCAAGCATGCAGAATTACAAAAATGTAGCTTGCTTGGCGGTTTCTGAAAGGCTGTTTGAACACACCATGGTCTGCTTGTCTGCTTCCATCTCTTCACAATCCCACTCTTCCCCACTGAGGCAAGCGCAGTGACTTTCTGCCCTCTGGTGCACAAACTGTATTTGATAATGATGTCATTTCTGGTGCATTAACACAGAGTTCTCCTAATATATCTATATGTCTTGGGTCAGCTCATGATTGCAATGAAATGAAATAAGTTTGACACTATTATCAACAAAGCAGTCTAAAATGCTAATCTTACTGAATTGGGAAAGAACGGGGGACTGCCAACTGCTCACAGGATCAGTCCAAAGTCTCACTGTTTTGGCAGGCTGATCCAATAATTTCTAAACTATAGCCAATGATGCACTCATCCTTTAGTAGGTTATGTAGTCTCCTAGTTGTCCATGAAGATCACTTATAAATTTTGATATTATAAATTAAAATGAACTAAATAGCCATGTAAAAAGATACATAGCCTTCTCATTGACAATGTCATGTATGGGACAATGTTATAGCAAAAAGCAGAAAATAGTCATGTGGCACTTTAAAATGCAATCCCATTGAACTGAATGGGATCTTCATAGAATGTGCTGTAATATATTTATTGCAGTACAAACTTAATGCATGAAGTGTTAGTCTGATCCCACATAACATGTCTCTCCTCTTCGGTAATTTCTGTACCATTGTTCAAAGGGAAGTGTTAGTCAAGGGAAAGTGGAGGAGGAAACTGTGCTGGAATTCCTTTCACCAATCCTAACTAACTTCCCATTGTTGCAAAATGTAAATGGGGGTGCATGTAAATATTGCATTACATTATGTCTACCATCTGACCCAGCCAGACAAGCAGAACCTAGTGCAACTAGAAATTGATTCCAGCAAAATTCTTGCGACGTAGCCCTGGAAAACAATATAACTGTTAGCGCATTGCGGCAAAATAGGGAATGTTGCTCAGTTGCCTGGGTAATGTGTACAAACATATTCATTCTCCCTGGCCAATTCAGAGAGAGAACAGTGGAAAAGTTTTGTCTACCTTTGTGACACCACCATGAATTTGATCAGCTATGTGATGCAAGGACACCATGTTCTCCTTGTGATTCCTGATTGTTTGGGATCACACACTGGCAAAGAAAGACACCCTAAAAATAGTGCTGATGCCACCACTCTTTATTCTTTGATAGACAAGAAGTGTGTAAAATCTCAGGCTTATATAGTGTTAGGTCACATCTTTAAAAACAACACATACTGTCGTATAATAGATATATGGAAGAGACACAAAGGAGGTCTCCTTGGTGTGTAAAGTACACATTAAGATTAAAAGCTTCCATCCTTAGATAAGTTCACACAAGAATAGCACCTCACAGGCACATGATTGTCCTCAAAGCCTCTCTGAACAATTGAGGGGGCCTCCTGAGCCATGAGGGATGGAGCACGACCCCCTCAACTTTCCAAAGATTCATTTTGAGGGGAAAGGATGGAACAAGAACCTTTCTTCCTGTGAACATCCATAAGACCATGGGGTAGAAGAAAAGGAGACTGAAGGTGTTTTCTCTGCCTTATCAAACACCCCCACTGAGCTCTCTCCCAGTAGGATGAAAGTGAAGGTGGAGGCATGTTTTGTGTACTTTTCCTGATTTTTCTGATGCTTCATTTACACCAGCTCCTGGGCTGGCATACATTCCCTTAAACCCTTCTTTCTCAATGTTGTGTCCTCAGATGTTGTTGGACTACAACTCCCATCATCCCTGACCACTGGTCTTGCTAGCTAGGGATGATGGGAACTTTAGTCCAACAACATTGGGAACCCAAGGTTGCGAAAGCTTGTCTTAAACCACTCTGTCACAAGATCCAAACCACCCCAACAGATCCCTTTGTGGGACTGTCCTGACTTTGGGGCCAGGCTTTACATCTTTCCACAGCACTGGGGAGGAGGAATTTAAATCAGACCACCATTCCTATTGTAGCGCTCTCTCTGAACTCAGAGAATGAGATCTAATGTTTCGTAGGGCCCCTGAGATGCCCTCCGAGGAACTATAGGATTGCTGAGTTAATGACATCTGAGTATCCAAGGCTTTCACCTTAATTTCTGTATTATCTGTGGAGAAAATCCCTTAAGTGTCTCTTCCATGTGCCTATTATATAATGCTAAAATGGTTTACTTTTGATAATGGAACCCGAATACTAGATTTTTTTTGTTGGCATATCTGCCTAGGGTGCTGTCTTGTTGCTCCCATAATGCCAGATTTATTAAAATTGGCATGTCTGTTGTTACAGATTAGGTACACGCTGGTGCAATGCAAGTTTTGGCACAGGCTATACAGTGTGTATATATGAAAAGCACAAATTCAACCCAGCTACAACCCTGTAGAATAATTTATACTATCTCAACCTTCACTAGTCTGATATCTTTTTCTTAGTGATTTTAAAACATAGCAGTGAAAAAGTGAATTTCAGGTTGCCTCATGTCTTCAAAAGGACAAAAGGTAGAAAGAAAATATTGTATCAGCAATTGCCTATGCATTTTTCATAGTTAAATGAATTGTAACATAGAACGAGTTAGTGGCCATGGCAGATAATTATAATTAAAATACATATTAAATGAATGAATCTCATTTCTGAAAATCCATTTTGACATAGCAGTTGTTCCATGTCAGTTCAATGAGTTGCACTCATGAGATTTTACTCCTGGCTAGAATCTACATGCTTCAAATGATAATTTGTTTTACACACAGCTGGTTTTCATCTGAATGTATACAAGGTGTGATAAAATATATGCATCTGTGGTTCTCTCTCTGTAAGCTTCTTCTATGGATTTGTAATAGGGTAATATTGCATGATATTGTTCATTGAGAAACACAGCTGTAAGGTTATATACAGGATAACACCATTTTAGAGCTAAGGTTGCTTTCTAGATAGTTATTAAAAACTTCAGACACAAAAGAACACAGGGATCCAAACTAAAACAGGAAACATTTACACTATACCTTTTTGCATTGTTGTCATCACTGCCCAGCTGAGCATCAAAGGAAAACCTCATGGAAGACAAACAAATAGATGGAATATTTCAAAACATCTGGTCAATTTTGATGAAATTAATAAGGACTGATTTCATAGATCAGCACATTTAATGGGGATACTCTGAGCTTAATTTGAGCCAGGATGTCAGAAACTTTTCCTCCTACAGTTTACACTGATGATGATGATGATTATGGTGATGATGGTGATAATAATAAGAATAAGAATAAGAATGATAAAGAAGAAAATATCTTTTCTTCGTTTAGGAAAATCTCAGGCAAAATTTGAAAATTTCCCTTCATAATGGAATCTGGAGATTAAGCAAATGTTATGACAACATCTTCTGTATGCTTTGTTTTTAATTCCTAGTTGGATACACGATGAACGATCTCATCTTTGAGTGGCAAGAAAAGGGAGCTGTCCAGGTGGCCGATGGACTCACTTTGCCACAGTTTCTCTTGAAAGAAGATAAAGATTTATGTTACTGCACCAAGCATTACAACACAGGTAGAAGAATCACGTAGTTTGTTGACAACTGAAAGTCCCGTTGTTTCTCTTTCCTGTTAGTGATTAGGAGTATTCAGCAATGTACTCAAAACAAGTGCTGACAAAGCAGCAATGGCTTGTGGAAAGTGATGGGATGTTGTCTGCTGAACATTATGGCTGCCACCACCAAGTGGCAACCAAGGGGATCATAATGTCATAGGAAAAACAGCACCAGACTTTTGAAGTGGGGGGGAAAGAATCCAAAGTATAGTTTTATGAGCCCATTTTACATGTAGGAGCTTAAGAAAGGCAAGAGGGAAGCAGGAAGACACAAGGGAGCAGAAGTACATGGAGGTTTGGTTTTGAGTGAAAGCCAAAGAAGCTGGGGAAGAGGCATGCAATGAAACACAAATGAAATCAGGTAGATTGTTGGAGTCTTCCATTTTTCCTGTCAGAGCTCTTTTTAGACTCAGTGAACCGAAGCCAATAAATTCATGCCTGAACAGAAATTTGAACCTAAGTCTCACACATTCTGGAACATACTATTTTAAAAAAATTGTTGTAACCTTGAAACCTTAGGGTGAAGGGTGGGTAATTAATAATAATAATAATAATAATAATAATAATAATAATAATACCACATCTTTTCACCTGGGTCCTAAGTCTCAATACCCATTATCCATGGACTCTGAAAGAAAAGCATAACAGGGAAGAAATTTGGCAATATCCAGGGGAGAAAGAAAGTCATGTGAGGGGTTGGAGAGTACATAGTAAGCTTACAATACTGTGAGGTGGTCTGAGGACTTTACATCCATTTTTTTTTAAAAAAAAAACTTTTCTTAAAAGTAAGAGCTAGGGCATGTGGCTACAAAGCCATGTGCTTTCAAACCAGCCCTGGAATGTCCCTGGAAATTGTGCTACCTGATAATGTAGCATTATTTCTAGCATAAAAAAAAGATGGTCCCTCTTTGAACCCACCAAAAGTTCAGCAAGGTGGAATGTTCAGAACAACCCTAGCCGATATTTTAGCTTCTGGACAGAAATATAGTAGAGCGAGACTGCTGCTGGGTAGATAGCAAAACAGAAATTTAATCACCTTTGTGTCAGCTGGCAGAGCTATGCCTCTGCCTCTGTTGATCAACCTGTGGAACAAACCATATGCCAATCCCTGTAATAAGAGTTCCTTGATTAAATAAAATGATCAGAGGGGAAAATGGAGAATTATTAACAATGATTTAAGTAAGCAGTTTCCCAAGTTTCTCTCTCTCTCTCTCTCTCTCTCTCTCTCTCTCTCTCTGCATTTATCATGAATTTAATTTTTGCTCTTTATACTCCCTGTGTTCCAGTTTTCATCAGGCCTTGTACAAATCTCAAACTGGATTCCTTAATGCAGAAGCAGGTTATGATGAAGACATTTGTAATATTGTGGGTTAAAACACCTATTTGCACGAGAAGCACTCCAATTGACTTAGGTCATAGGCTCATCACACAATTAAAGTACTCTTACATCACTTTAACAGTCATGGCTTCCCTCAAAGTTCCACTATTGGGAACTGTAGTTTGTTAATGGTGCTGGGAACTGTAGCTCTGTGGGTTGTCTCCTAACAACTCTCAGCACTGTTAGCAAGCTACAGTTCTCAGGATTCTTTGGGGGAAGCCATGGCTGTTAAAGTGGCCTTCAAAGTTGTGTTGTGACTGTGCAGTGTTATTATGAAAAGTCAGAGTAATGCTACAAATGATTGAATATCCCAAAGCCTGTGTCCTCCAGCAGTCTTAAGAAACGCCTTGCTTGATTAGATGAAAAGTCTACTAGTCCAGCTTTCTCTTCAGAACACAAGTCCAGTCAGTATCACCTGTTCTAGAAGTTCACAATCATGACATAAAAGGCTACCAGCTGTTTGTCTCTGGCATGTAACATTATTTAAGTATACTGTGAATCATATGAATGTATTTTTCCCCCTAAACAGAAAAGGAAAAGAGCAAGAAAAGCCTGGAAACTTTTATAGATGAGTCCAGGGGTCGGCAAAGTTTTTGTAGCTTGGGCCAGTTCATGGTCCTGCAGACGCTGCAGTGGGCTGGAGTGCGCATGGATGCACACATGCTCAAACGCTATTTCCGGCACTCCTTCTGGTGCAGAGGCCCATGGGCCTTAGGTTGCCGACTCTTGGATTAGTCACTTTCATCAATTGTTATAAACAGAAAGCTATTTTTAAAAATTGCTGTATCGTTTCATTTCTTACCGCTGAGAAAAAACCCCGCAGCTAATTCCGCTAACAATTTGTCTCTGTTGTAACTAGGCAAGTTTACATGCATTGAAGTTCGATTCCACCTTGAAAGGCAGATGGGCTATTATCTCATTCAAATGTACATACCCAGCCTCCTAATTGTCATACTTTCTTGGGTGTCGTTTTGGATCAATATGGATGCAGCACCAGCAAGAGTGGCTTTAGGAATAACAACAGTTCTCACCATGACAACACAGAGTTCAGGGTCACGGGCTTCCCTGCCAAAGGTATGCAAGCTCTTGGACTTTATATGTTTCTCTCTGTGTGTTTTGCTCCTCATTGAACATGGGGCTATTCCCCCCCCCCCCATATATCGTGTGTTAGCCCTCCTAGTCTTGAAACACGTGCCACTAGCAATATATCTACAGTATAGCACAGTTTATGGAAGAACTGCAGTAGCAAAGGACATTTTCACCTTGTAAATTAACCTTAAATTGCTTTAATCATTTTCAACTATGTCAGATTCTCTGCTGGTGGTGGAAATGTAGATTCTCATCAGAGATATTCCTTTCTCTGCAGTAGGGCATTTGTTTTATATTGATCTACTTCCTTTTGTGCCACATTCCCTCAGGAGCTCTTAGGATCAGTTAACGGTGCTTTCTGGTGACAACTACTTTTGGAAGCAAAAGTACTTAAGACAGGCAGTTATATTAGACCCACACATGTGGAACTGTCCAGAGATTTGCTGAGATCCAAGCTGAGGGCTAGAGCTGAAGCTGCAGTTGCCATGATGCTGCTACCAAGAATAGCTTCCCTGAGGCAAAGAATACCAGTTCCTGGTCATAATCTTTGTAAATGCTCATTGTTGTCTTAGCCCATCATCTTGTAAGTTTAGGCCTTTCTCCAGATACCACCAAGAATCCAGTGTGGGTGGATTCACAAATCATGGGGTATCTCATGCTATTGATACTTGCAAACATTATAAATGAAGTGAAAGTGTGTTTTCAGCAGAATCTGGATGGGGGGTGGCTAGTGTACCTTCATAAACCTTGAAAGATCTTTTAAGAGGGGCAAGTTTTGGGGATTAAAGTAAAACCATTTGTGTAGTGCACTGCAGCCTTTATTTCAATTATATGTGTAAATCTCTATATAGCTGCACTTGAACGACTAAGCTAGGTATGATAATAAATCTATGATTACAAAACCTGCTGTTCAGAAGTAGTATTGCAACTCTCTTGTGCAATAGCCACTTGATACCCATTGCCATAAAATAGTGAATATAGTTGTAAGTAGTAGCTTTATTTATTTTTCTCCTGAACACATTTTTGGCAGTTACAACACCCTGATTTGTACATACAGGTCTTACAATTCCCTGTAGTTCACAAGGTGATGGCAGACATAAAGCATCACTAGTGTGAGATCTCTGTTATTTGATTTACTGTTTCAAGGTCAAATTCCGTTTCCTTTCACTTTGAAGAAACCCTGATGCTGACTTCAACAGAACAGTACATCAATATAACTGAAACTAAAAAGTGCTCTGAAGTGTTGTACTGTTTGAAACTTTTACTACTAGATGTTCAGTTCTGAGAAAGAATTGGCCAGTGTCTCTGAAGAAAAGAAATAGTCCACTTGGCTGTGTAGCTTAATTTCTTTTGTCATAATGGATGTGGTGAGGGCTAAAATACTGTGTTCAGCACCTAAAAATGGAATATTTGCTGCTTCTTTAAATGGTTCCAAATGCTTCTAGATATATACTACATCCCAGCTATTCATAAGAGAAAAGTTAAAATATTTCTTTCTAGCTCCAAAGACTTTTCGATGCAACGCTAAAGTTCTGACTGTTTTGAATAGCTGGAATGTACTATTTTGTAGTTAAAACATATGCCCCCCCCAAAAAAAAGTTATAGATGCTTTAACAAAGTGAATCAGCTCCTTTTTGGCTTACAGTGAATATTTTCATCAAATCTGATTAAACATTAAAGAGAACTGATCTATTCCTCACTAGCACTTAAAATTTGTTTTAAGAAATATTTCTTTATAAAAAATACTCCTTGTAAAGAGCATGATCTTAGAAACAAAATACACATAATTTCCACTTTCCTATTCAGGCAAACAACTTTAAAAAGCTAAATGCCTGATCTGAGCTCATCTGCTCTTGATTTTAGTATGTGCCAGTGTTGTGGAAATGGATGCAATAGGACTCTCCTCTTGTTCTTCCTGCAACCCTACCCCCCGCCCCATTTTCCACAGTGGGTTCCCCAACCCCACAATGTAGATTTCAAGGATAGGTGGGTGCAGCAGAAAGAGAAGGGCAAGTGCTGTTACATGAGCAGAAGTCCATTCCAAAAGCAGCTGGCATCACTGGATCTTACCACCAGCTTAAATCCTAAAATAAGTTAATTTGTGGAACTCTACCCATCTAAGCTGGGGATGGGAACCATATGACCATGTGGGACATGTGGAGCTCAAAGACATAGTCCTATCTAGAATAATGACATTTTTGTAGATTCAAAAATATTCAGTGAGTGAGATTGTGAGCATTTGGGCTGGGGTTTTGTTCCTTCCACACCAACAATTGGGAAACACTGGCCTGTGAGCGCTCCAATTGGAAAACAGCCTTTACCAAAGGTGTCATGGGTTTTGAAGACATTCGAACTCAGGACGCTAGGGAGAAATGTGCTAAGAGAAAGGCACTCTTGGCAAATCCACACCATGTTCAACTCCTGTCCAGAAACCAATGTCCCCATTGTGGAAGGACGTGTGGCTCCAGAATCGTCCTCCATAGTCACTTACAGACTCACTGTTAAAACCGTGTTTATGGAAGACAATCTTACTCAGCTACAAATGATTGCCAAAGAAGAAAGAATAATGATTTGCAATGCTGTGTTAGCACAATAGCTGGTAGGTTTCACCCTATATATTTATATGTAATGGCACAGGAAATCTTAGGATAGTGCTTTTAGTGTGAAGTGTTCAGGAAATGTTACTTTTATGGGAAATATAGATTTGGCCTTTGCCCTTCCCCCCCGTAAAACTAGCTTTCTCTCTGGGCTTGGGGAAACACATTTCTCTTTCCTTGACATTAGGAGACACTGCACTTCCCATCTGTGTTTCTAATACCAGCAGTCTTATACTCTGTGCTATCTATAGGTCTCGTACGTCAAGGCTATTGACATCTGGATGGCTGTATGCCTGCTTTTTGTATTCTCGGCACTTCTGGAATATGCAGCTGTAAACTTTGTGTCAAGGCAGCATAAAGAACTTTTGAGATTCCACCGAAAGAGGAAGAAGAACAAGGTAAATATGACAGCCATAGGTTAAAGAAATACCGGCAGCAGAAAGGGCTGTCTGCTTTGTAACAATGGTACAGTGTCTTAGGAGTGGCTGTACAAGTAACATGTTAACACAGGATAACATTCTGTCTGCCTAAGGTCAGCACAAGGCCTGTGTAATTCACAAATCCCGCTGAAACCTTCAGAGAAAGGATTAAAAAGGGATTTAAGTGGGACAAGAGCCTCGTGGAAGCTTGCTGCACAGAGTTTAATTTCACCCTCTGAGAATACCAGCAGATTGCCCCTTCACGATGGAAACTGATGGTTTGAAATGTGTTAAAATAATTTCCTACTATGGTTCAATGGAAGACCTTGATAGATGTATTCACATTTGTTTAATCTACTTACTTATTTAAGACTTGTTTTTGGTACTTTTGTATTGGGGAGTGGCAAGAGAGGGAATTAGACGTTGCATGTATTTAACAGTTCGATTCCACACTTACAGAGTCAATATGAGTTTATCTATTTATTATGACCTTTTTAAAATGGGTTGTGCAGCAAGTTGAAGATGAGCCCACAAAATAGCCAAGGGGTTAGGAATATGAGCAGGGGTACAAGGACCCTGAGGACATAGTTGCATCATAGGAAGGAAGGACACCTATGACTGATCCTCTGGAGAACAAGAAGGGGCTGGAAACTGCAGCAGGAAATAATATATGGATGCAGACGGCCACCACAAATCCATATCACATTCTCTACATCAGGGGTCTCCAATCACGTTTTTACTAGTAGGCACATTTTGAATTTGCTGGGGGTGCCTATCACAAAATGGTTGCCGTGGAGGGGGAATGGCATAAAACAAAATGTCTGCCACAAAGAGCATGGCGTAATACAAAATTAGAGAGACAACCACCCTAACAACTCTGTGCTTACCATGGGAAGTCAGCTGTGTCCTGCTGGTCCTGATTATGGTGTTCACACACAAACTGGTGCTATTCCCGTCTAACAACAACAGGGAGCATTCCTCAGTACTGGAGGGAAAATGTAAGGTAACCATACTACTCTCATTTCACATAAATTGCTTATAAGGTGCCTTCCCATAACTTCATCTCTGGGAGGGCTAGAAGCGTTCTAGGGAGGGAGGGAGGGAGGGAGGGAGGGAGGGAGGGAAATGAAACTCAGTGTGTAGCACTACTAGAAGACTTTGTGGGTGCCATGACACCTGTGAGCACCAGGCTGGTGGCATGCTCAAAGTAAAGCACTCTAGATGTTGTAAGTGGAACAAAACAATGCAAGATGTTTAACACTCACCCCCCACACAACTTAATAGACATCAACCATTTTATAAGTTGTAATACATTTTCATTTCTTTTTTGCACCAATAAAAATAGATGCAAATGAGTATCCGAGGACAAGAAGAGTGCCAATGTGATCCCATAACCCAACAGCTCCTTATGGGTGGTGACTAATGTAACTCTCATTGAGGGCTGGGCTGTAAAGTCCTCCTCTTTCAAAGCTGACATTCATCTTTATTCCCAGATAAAAGCAGGAATAAAATTCAGTCACACGACACTCAGTCGTGACAAATCTTAAAGTGTCTTATCATATTATAAAATGACTGGTATTCATGGGACAATGAGTTAACTCCAATATTCTTCTTGCTACCGAATGCAACACAAATTTAAATACATACACATATGCACAGATGTTTTATAGGCTTATGCAGTTGGAGGTGACCTAGAACTTAGCAGTATTTAACATTGCTAGCAGATGAGCTCCAATCATCCAGATTATAATGTGATAGAATCTGCAGAAGTGAGAATCTGTATCATGCTGGAGCCCCTATGGAACAAAAATGAATTTTAGTGAACACGGGCAAATAGTTGGTTCCATTTCAGTTTGTAAGAGGAATGGATTTTCTCATTGGTAAATTAGAACATGTAATTGGATTTCATTAACAACCTGCAATATCCTGCTTTGCTTCTCCCTTTTGATCTCAGATAATTATACAGCTTAGTTTCTAATTTTTTATCCATCTGACAGTGGTTAAACAGTCACTAGTTTTCTAGTTTAGGACTTTTAATTTTCTTTTTCTTTTTAATCTGCAGTCAGGTTAAAAGAAAAAAGAAAAAACTTGGCCAGTTGGATTTTATCTAACCAGGAAATGAGCAGAGATCAAGAAATAAAAATTTCCCATAGGGCTCTATCCAACTAAGGCTTACTCAGTGTCAATCCATTGATTTTTTTTTGGTATTAATTCATTTAAGTCCATTGATTTCATGGGGTCTACTATGAATATGACTCGGTTGGATACAACCATGTTGCGTTCTACTTTTATTTCCTTTCATGAACATTAGAAGCATGCTGTGTAAATTGATCAAAGAAATGTGCTGCTTAACACAGTACAGTCGTACCTTGGTTCTCGAATGGCTTAGTTGCCAAACAAATTGGCTCCCGAATGTTGCAAACCTGGAAGTAACTCCTCTGGTTTGTGAACATTTTTCGGAAGCCGAACGTCCGACACGGCTTCCGCTTAAGTACAGGAAGCTCCTGCAGCCAATCGGTAGCCGTGCCTTGGTTTTCGAACAGTTTTGGGAGTCGAACAGACTCCCAGAATGGATTATGTTTGAGAACCAAGGTACCACTGTATTCCATTTCTGACATAGCAATATTAAATACTGTATGAGAAGTGTGGTCAGAATAATGAAACTGCCATTCAATAATCATATGCCATCCACTCAGAGTTTTTCAAATATGGATAGCTACCAGGCCAATGATCTAGAAACCTGTTAATGATTTTGGAATCTGACTTCAACATTCAAGAATTGAGAATGAATGATTGGTTGGGTTGTCCCTTGGTGAGATGATTATTGACATTTAATTGTTACATTCCTTCCTGGTTGGAGAACCATTGTTAGCTAAATTCCCCTCCTTTGCTTTGCTGAATAATGCTCTGTCCATATAATCTGTAGACTGCAAATGCTGTATGCATGATACAGCATGGAACAAATACCGGTATGTATATTTGCACAGAGGTACATTTGATTTCCACAATTCTTCCACTTTTTGGAAGGATTCTTTTTGCTGTCAAACCTGTGTTTATGTGGATGTAGATGTGTATGTCCCACCTTCCTTACAATCTATATGCAATGGGAAATGCATAGGAACACAGTCTCTCATCACACACACAACGTTTTGAGACTGCAGGAATTAGTGCTGAAACAGTCTTCTGGTTAGAGGTTTCTGGTTGAATATCCAGGTCAACAAACTGTAGTAGACTGAAAAAGTGAAATGATCAGAGCTACAGTGCTGGACCAGTCTCTGTTCTAGGACAAGATGTAGAAAATACTCCCCCCCCCCTTTCAACCCTTCCAGTGTCAAATTCACCACAGTTCCTCCTATTAGTTCTTGGAGAGAAGTTGTGATCAGCCAACCACTGACACGTAAATATTTTGTGAGATTCCATTTAGGTTTCCCTTTTTTTATTATTCTCGTCAAGCATTCATTTAATGGAATCACTCCATGTATCACTTCAATTTATGTCATTCAAACATGCTTTTGGTGTTACTTATTTTTCCTAGTGAGCTATATAACTGAGGGAGAAAACAAGTGGCTTGACCTTTTCCCAAAACAACACCAGCTTCGGAGAGCTTCTAGTTGAAAAAATGCCCACATGAGAAATTAGGCCTTAAGGGGCGGGGGGGGGACACCCACCAGCCTGGAGAGGGCAATTTCCTCTGTGATAGCTCTGATGCCAACAATTATCTTCTTTTCTTTTTTGTTTTTTAAACTAAAATGCTGACCACTTGTCTGGGTTATTTCCCTGCCTATAGGCAGCGAGCAAATTAGCCACTTACAGCCTCCAACTATACGGACAGCAAACTAGCAAAAAACTAAAGTTAGAAATGAGTAAATTCTGCTTTATGTGCAGATGTAATTAGATAACAGATTCAATTTGATAATCGACAGATATCGAAAGTGCCCCATCAAATTCCAAGCATATCAAATATTGCTCCACTGAGAATAATTAATGGCAGGGAAATATGAGTAAACCTAGCAGTGCTGAATCATGACACATTGTGCCGGGGAGCACTGCATACTTGATGCAATATAAAATATCACATGTCAACTAGATCAGATACTTTTGGATGAGCACTGAACATATTAGATATTGAAAAGTCAATTGATGCTTAACCTTGAAATCTGTACCAGGATAGTTCCAGGGTTGAGCTGCAGTTGCAAACTGACTTCAGCTGCTCTGTCTAGAATACTCAGAAGCTAATACTACAGACTTAAGTAAATTCATGGATATGTTTCCACACTACCTGCTGAAAACATCATTACAGCAAAGAGAGAGATTGTGGCCCTCACACTTTATGGCATGTTCTACAGGCACGGCACACGCACGGGAAAACTGATGTGGATTGGAACTTGCCACAACTTTTGACATAGTATAGGCAAGTATCCTGACAAAACAAGCAGGCAACATCTGCTGTCCTATGTCTCCCCTAGTCCACATGGTGGGCAAACCATAGACCCCTCAGAAGCCTGGATGTGGGGCAGCTCAGCCCCTCAAGCATATTCTGATACTGTAGTGAGACACTCCCAAGACCCCTTATGAGGTGGGTCCCCCTTTCAATATGTTATGAATCCCAACCAAATAAAAATTGTGACAATAGACATTTTTTAAAAAAACAAAAAACAACCTCATAGCTTCTTGGCCAATTGCAGCTGCAAGTAACATTCCTTCTAGGCCTATTGACCAGTGATGAACCAAAGCCCATGGCAACGATGCCCATTATCTGAAAGAAGGTGGGTAGGAAACATGACCCATACCCAAATTTATAATCTAGGAACAGGCCTGTGGAAACAGGTTATCCCTCAGATCTGCTTGCCCAGCTCCACCCTCTGGACTTCCAATTTGCTTCTATGAGCAGGATAGGCCTGGACCTCAAGGAAGGATCTGAGGGGGAGGAAGTGGGGCTCCCTCCCATCATGTCACATGGGCATTGCACAAAGTGGGCTCCCCACATAATGATGGGGAGCTGTAGCTTCTGAAATATTTTTGAGAAGAGAGAACATCACATCTATGAGGGGTATCAGTAATGCAAGCATGGAAAACGTACAGCAGCTGATTAAAAAAATAGTGATTGCAACTGGAAACTTTTGGAAGAGGCGTTGGGAAATTGTATACTTATATTTTGAAGATTCTGCAGTCATCTGTGTAAGCTGGGGTTTTGCCTTTGCATGAATCAGTATCACTAAATTCATGAACTGGATCTAAAGATATTTAGGATGAATACATCTAAAATTCACACCCATTTTGCCCTTTAAAAAGCACTTACAGGGGTTGCAGAGAGTAAGTTGGAGGTGTATCATAAATAAATGATACATATGGATATTGCTTTGCTTGTTGGCATTTCCACTTTAAAAGACGCAAGCATGCATACTAATTTTGTGCTTGTGTTGAAGAAAATATAGTGTTACATCTAAGGCTACATTTTACTAGTCTTTATTTACTTTTCAACTTTTCTTCAACTTTTTAACCCAAGTTCTAAATGCCATACTACTTGTAGACTAGGTTGATTATATGTTTTTTCACTAATAATCATTTCCTTTTTCCCCTTTTATTTTCTTTTGTTGTCTTTGTGGTCTGCCTTCCATTTTGATGAAAGTTTTATGAGGGAGTGCTTGATGGAAATGAAATCAATGAATCATTGCGGCGTAGCAATGGCTTGAGAAGTACAGAATTCATAGACGGGACTTTGCCTCAAATCTACAATATAAATTTAAGGGTAAACTATGTAGAAGATGTCCCATTTGTCCTAACATGCTACCCAGTCATTAACAAAGGCCCAGTCCATTTGTCTGAACTAATGTCTTTCCATGTGGACTCTGTGAACTTCCATTACTACTTCTGTGTGATGATACATATTGTTGCTAGAGAGGTTCAGTCTCCCTTCTTCATGGAAATAAAATTTGTGGTGGTTAATTTGGAGCTCGTAACATAGAATTCACATCTGATTTTCTTTCTCCTCAAAACATGGTTTAGAAATTAATACATCTAAATATGGTAACCTAAATACTCCTGCAAAAACAATATAGATATTTAGAAACAATTAAGGTTTCCTATACTGAGACAATGTTAAAGCATTGCCAGAATCTAAGAGACCTTCAGTAGATAAGCAAATAAGTCAGTGATAGGGTGCCCCTTGTGTCCAGGATCCAGAAGAAGCAATCTCTCACCATTTACTAATGCAGCTCCAGATCTACTTCTTTGAAAGGAGCATGAATATGCTTCGCACATGACCACTGTGAAATGATCTAATATTGTCTGCTTCACTCCTACTGTGTCTTTGTAAAGAAGTATATGCATTTCTCAAAAGCTACTGGAGACGGTGGGATAGGTTCTGGAAGCTTCAACGATTCAACCATGCAACTGAGTGTCAGGTGCATTCCATAATCTTAAATGTACTCAAGTGGGTACTTCATGAGGGCCCTACACCAGGGTAAGCTTAAGGGGCCTGGTATAAAGTACATCTGTGGTATGTGAGACCTTATAGTTTTGGTCAGTCAAGGAGAACAGGAGACAGTGCAGCAGAAATCAGGTACAATCTTTAATATCACAACAATTCAAAAAGACGTGGTGTAGAGAGGTAATGGATTGAATATTTGTAAATGTTTCTAAGTGGTATGTATAACTAGGTCCTCTTGCTATAAAAATTAATCAGATTATTATTTTTATCTGAGAAAGGCCCAGTTCACATGAGTGTGTGTTGTGTGTGTGTGTGTGTGAGAGAGAGAGAGAGAGAGAGAGAGAGAGAGAGAGAGAGAGAGAGAGGTAATACTAGCTTCAGAATATTCTCAGTCTGCTATAACTGATTGTGGGCATCTCCATCGATGTGTATAGGCTGAGAGTGTTGTTGGCCCTCATGGCCATGTGCCATATGATAGGCTACCACATATGTGTGGCAAGATCTAGCAGCCATTTGACAGCCATTTAGAAATCATCCTGTCATTTTACCAGATGCCACTACAAATCCAATATCTAATTTGGGTGGGATTAAATTTCCCCAAAACGTTTCTAGAAAAGAATCTGGTAGTTCAATCCATCTCTCTGTCACTAAAAATGGCAGACAGGTGTGACCATACTGTGGCAGCACAATGTTAGTAATAGTAAAAGGATTGCAATCACATTATTTGCAGTCAATAAGAGAATGTTGAATTATGGATAATATGGAAAAAAATAATATTGAATGTGACTTCATTCCGTTAAATGAAGCAGGATACAGAGACAGGGTAAAATGATAAGATAATATAATACATTGCTAGGGGTTTAAAATGGGTTCCATATTAGTAGAATCTACATGCCTGACATTTGCTGACCATGTATATCAAGCTTTATATATAATTGCCTAGGATTAACTATAATGAAGAAGTTATATTTCACAGTATTTGAAGTAAAAACAAGTTTTTTTATTATTTTGAATCATGTCATACCATTCATGTCCTATTTTCATTTTGTATCTTTGTTATTCTTCATTTGTTAGCAATCCACAGCTTATTTATTTCCTTGTTGTGTTCAATCTTCATTTATTTTTGATTATCAGTGGTGGGGATGCAGCCATACCTGCAGGAAAGCCAATGTAGACTTTCTTGTTGAAAAGAGCTCTCTTTGGATACCAGTTAATGTTTTCAGTTCATCCTGTTTGTGAGTTCTTCTGGATACACCTGCAGGCTTTGAAAGCAATTTCCTCTTTATTGTTGCACTGATTTCACTATTTCGCACTGAACATTTTTAATCAAGCTCAGCTGCAAAGTACATAGTCTAGAGAAAGTTAGGAGTGCAGAAGTCTCCTAGAAACAATAATCCCTTGTCATGGAACTCTGTGTCATGTTTCCTTTAGAAAGCACCCTATGGAAATAATGCATCTGTATTTCTTGATAAAATAATTGTGTATTGCCTTCTTTTGTTTTTAAGACCCTGTAAAATCAATTAATGATGTAATAATTTTAATTACAACCTTTACCCAACATTTGGCATAATCACACATCACCTTTTAATGTGAAAAAGTTACCAACAGGTAACTCTTTAAATCTCATTTTGTGTGAATATGGTCTCACATTAAGGAAACTAGTATTTTACACACTGGGCACAGGGTTTTTTTCTGAAACAAATGTTCCCTTGGAGGGCAAATCACCACATCTCACCACACGAGGGAGTGCCTTGAAATGGAATATTCAACATACTAAAATGCCATGGCAAAAATCTTCACGTGACATTATCTTGGCAAAGTTAATCTGGAAGCTGTCCAGTACTGAGCAGTACTAAAGTCAGGGATCTTCTGGTTTTGAGGCCCACCCTCAGACTGGCAACAGTTGCTCCGCTGCATGCAAGCTGTCTCTCACTCAAAAGGGGAGGAAGAAAACACAGAACAAGATGATTCAGAAACTCCACACACACACACACACACACACTGATACCTAGCTATGTTCATATCCTGTTCTTGGTAGGTCTTGCCAGCAAAGCCTTCCAGCCAGTTGCGAACCTGCATGCTCCGCTACTGGAGGCGGAGAGCAGCCGGGGCATGATGGCGCCCTGGGGGTGTGGCACGCCGCCCGTGGGGACATGACATGCGTTCTGGGGGTGTGGCACCCGGAGCGCGGGGGTGCGCGGCACACATCTGGGGAGTTGCTGAGATGGCACCCTAGTGGAATAGTGGTGCCGGGGGCGGTCCGCTCCCTCTGCACCCCCGTTCCTCCGCCAGTGCTTCCAGCCAGTGGAGCCTTCCTGCAGCCAACCAGGGGGTGCTTTTGATGGAGTTGTTTCCACTCCATTGGCAAGCTGGCATTTCCCTTTCTCTGAGGAGGAATGCCATCAAATGTAAGGAAGATAGGTACAAGGAAGTTTCCTTTACAGTTTTAGGGTGGTTTTAAAAGGGGGTTTTCTTTTCCCAGGTTATTTTTATTTATTCATATATGTATATACCACTACCTCATACAAACTATATCAACATGTCTTAGAGCAATAAAACATAAAACCATACAATAAAAAACATAGAAGGGTTAAAAAAAGACATTAACCAATTAACCATTGTGGAAGTGCGCATTCTTAATCGCCTGCATAGTCCTGGTGGAATAAAAAGTTTTCAGCCAGCACTCAAAAGGTAGCCCAGAAAGTGCTTGCTTGTTGTGTGTTGTTGTCCAATAACCCTCACCAACTTTTGTTGTTTTGTAGACAGTTGGTATGAAAGCAGTATATGTCAAAGAGGTGCTTCTAGGTTTTCAAAAATGCTAGATTTCAAAAGCAAAGGTGCAACATTTTTGTATTGGGTTCCTTTGAAACCACTTGGGGGGGTTGGAGAACTAAATGAAGAAAAGGATTTACTTACCTTCCTGTGGTTTGGGCAGAGTTATGTATGAAAATAGCAAATGTTGTAGAAATGCCTGCAGATCAGTAACCGGTAACGTTTCAGGAGAATTAATTGGTGCAGGAGATAAGGACTTGTGATCAATAAAAGCAGTTTGTGGGTTTGCGGGGAAATTTATGCTCAGGTGAGAACAGTCAGTTCCTTCTTTTTCATCACTCCTAATGTAGAAAAGTTATTCCCTCTTTGGAAGGTAGATCTGTCAGAAAGAAAACTAAAGTCCCCTTCCTGACCTTATGCAAAAAAAAGATCTTTGCATTAGACACTTGAAATTTCAAAGAGACCAACAATCTGAGTCTATTTGATGCTTCAGGAGCAGCTTAGTTCAAAGGAGACCCACTTTGCCTTGGAAGATCCCCAAATCTCTCTGAATCTTCCTGATTCAATCCAAAATTCGGTATCCATCTGAACCAAGTACAGTGGTACCTCAGGTTACAAACACCTTGGTTTACAAACACTTTGGGTTACAAACTCCGCTAACCCAGAAGTAGTACCTCGGGTTACAAACTTTGCCCCAGGATGAGAACGGAAATCACGCGGCGGCAGCGGGAGGCCCCATTATCAAAACCGCACCTTGGGTTAAGCACGGTTTCAGATTAAGAATGGACCTCCGGAACGAATTAAGTTTGTAACCCAAGGTACCACTGTACACACTTGTAATGGTCGTCTAGGCCAATAACTATTACTGCATGTGTCCTGGTAACAGCCCAGTTCTAGCCCAGGATCACAAGTTAACATAGTTATTATGAGAGGTGTGCTTATTATATACTGTCCTCCACTGCAGCAAGCAACTGAAAGCTACAATCTATCCAACTACAGCCAGGGCTTTTTTTTCAGCTGAAACTTGCCAGAAATCAGTTCTGGCACTTCTCAGGTGAGTGCCACTGCCTTGTTCTTTAACAGAACAAGAGAGGTGTTTGTGGTGAATTCCGGCACTTCTTTTTCTAGAAAAATAGCACTGGCTACAGCTAACAAGATCATCTATAGGCAGATGTAAGATAACATCCTAAGAAACATAATACTCAGTGACAGGCAGGAACAGATATTGGATTTTAAAATTTCTCACATGGGCAGATGTCAAAAGCCCTATGCAGATATGTAGATTTAATTGTTTTAGTGAATACAGAAAGGAGAGCATACTGCTCCACAACCCCTGCAATTGACTTCCCTCATTGGACAGGAAGGTCAGAAGGGGTTTCTGTTAGTGTGTCCAGATGAATGTTAATTCACCAGATCGCAGAAAAAGATGTCCAACTGGCCATGCTTGCCAATCTCCATTCAGACAATTTCATTCAATGCAAGAGCTTGAAGAGTGATGGAACCAGGATACATGCTTCATAGATGAATAGCCAACGATACTTTAGAATTAAGGGACGCAGATGGCGCTGTGGGTTAAACCATAGAGCCTAGGACTTGCCGTCAGAAGGTCAGTGGTTCGAATCCCATGATGGGTGAGCTCCCATTGCTCAGTCCCTGCTCCTGCAACCTAGCAGTTCGAAAGCATGTCAAAATGCAAGTAGATAATAGGTACCACTCCAGCGGGAAGTAAACGGCATTCCATGTGCTGCTTCTGGTTCACCAGAAGCGGCTTAGTCATGCTGGCCAATGACCTGGAAGCTTTACTGGCTCCATCGGCCAGTAAAGCGAGATGAGCGCCGCAACCCAGAGTCGGCCACGACTGGACCAATGGTCAGGGGTCCCTTTACCTTACTTTAGAATTATTGAATTGTGACTCAAATAGAAATCAAATTGCAGCCAACACAGCAGTAGTTGGGCTACTGCATTACTGCATTTGCAGCAGCTGATTATATTGTGGATGGGGAGGATATAGAGCGATAGTTTTAATATTTTTTTTGAATAATGATATAAAGGGTCTTTATAGATTTCAGTTGTTAGAATTTCCAGGTGAAGACTTTTCCTGTTTGTTTATTTTTACAGGATGAAGATTCAAGAGAAAATCGGTTCAGTTTTACAGGCTATGGAATGGGGCCGCAATGTATTCAAGCAAAAGATGGAGTGGTTCCAAAAGCACCAAACAATCCAGTTCAACCTGCACCAAAAAGCCCTGAAGACATGAGGAAGGTATTCATTGATCGGGCCAAGAAAATTGACACCATCTCCCGAGCCTGTTTCCCACTAGCCTTTCTGATATTCAACATTTTTTACTGGGTCATCTACAAAATCGTTCGGCACGAGGACATTCACCAAAAACAAGATTAAGGTTTCCAGTGCTTAACGGTTCTGGTTCTCTATTACTATGGTACAAATACCGATTGGCTCATAAAGGGCGTGGAGGGAAAAAATCACATTTGACTTGCTATGCAAAGTCACAAAAGGATAGAAGAGTGGAATCCAAAGAAGCTACAGTATCTGCTGCAACAGCGATTCAACTTCTTATTAGCTAAAAGTAGCCAGCTTTTGCAAAGAAAAACCACAACGTCCTAAATTAAAACTCTACTGCCAATGTGTTTATAGATGCTGTTCCATAATGGTGTAGTATTTTCTGATGTTTCTTGCAGCAAAGTGCCATATTAACAGAAATGCTATTCCACTTTAAAGTTTCCTTTAAACTTTATAAGTCAAGATTTGCCATGGGGGGGGGTGTTTTAAAAAAGAAGTTTCCCTTTAAGTGACGAAGCACATTTTCTAAATTTAAAGACACTGCCAATGTCTTTTATAATAATAGCATATATTAGGCTGCACATTAAAGAGAGAAATCTCATATAAAATATGTCATAATGACACAATCCACAAACCACTTACTCTGTGAAACGCTGCTGGTGTTTCTGGTGAGGCTTCAGTTCTGCACTGGAATAAGCAGTTTGTTGATTGCTGGCCATTTTATAAAAAGAAAAAGTATGCCTTGGCAAAATTTCTCTGTGCATTCAAAGCAGGAAACTGTCTAATCACATCCTTTACCAGTACAGAGAGTATGACTCAGCAGGCTAGACCTTCTGTTGAGTAAACAGATCACTTGCTTCTGGTATTTACTCTAAAATGTAACATAGATTCTACATGATAGGATGTGAGGTCAGATATTCTGAGTCACTCAAATGAGTATTGTCACCTCCAGGGCCCTAGAGGGGGAGAGGATTTTGTTCCATGAAGGTTAAATATGCTTAAAGCTATTGAAATTATGGGGCAGTGGTGCATATTTGATTCTGTAATATATACATAATATACACTAGGAAGTTAGTGTCATTGAAATCAGTTCAACTTACTTCCAGGTAAACATGCTGAAAATCATATGTAGCTCCCATTTATTTTAACTGACTTTACATACATATGTGCTGAACAACGTCAAAAGAAGTGCTAGAACAAAATTGGGGGAAACGAAAACCTTCCTATGAAAGTCAAATTCTTTAGTAAAGATACCGGATAGCCAACTATGGCATTCTACTTGTGCAACTGACTGTCACTTGCACAAATAGGAATTGCTCTTGTTCCCTTCCCTCCCAATTCCACCCACCCACCCACATTTCCCAATATCTGCTCTGCGTAGTTGGGAAACCCTGATTGGGGATAGTTTGCAGGGCCACAGTGTGAATGGTGGAAATAGAATGTAGCACACCTCCTGGTACGATATTTCATCTAGGTATTTAAATTAAGGAAATTTATTTCCTTTTTCTAGAATTGCACAGCCCTTTAAATTAATTCTCTCAATAATTATATATTATTCTATAGGCTTAAAAGAAAATATAGAATAGAACTTTGCACCTAGAAGCTGTTTTTTGTTTCTTCGGACAGTTCTCATCAGCAAAGACAGAATATATTTGCTCTACAGCATATCTAATGCAGTGGAATGATATATGTTCTGAAAGTGTGCCAACAGAAAACCACAAGAGTTTATTGTTGAACACCAGAGAGGAGAGAGAAAACATGCTGCTTTGTAGGAAAAAGAAAATCAAAGCTGAAGTTTTACTTTGATTTTTAAATAAGAACAAATGTGATACAGGACTATTTCCGTAATGTGTCTGTTATAGAAATATTTACTAAGATGACTTTAAAAAGGGAAAAAGGGGGGAAAGCAAATTTGATTTAAATAGATCCATTTAAGTATGGGTGGGTGGAAACCATATGCAAATTGTGCCCTTTGTCAAAAACAGCTTCTATATTGGTGTCGGGAGATATTTTCTTGAGCAAGTACTTTCAAACAATTGATTCCCAATGCAAAACTTGAGGTGGCATGGCCAGTCTGTGAGGACTGTGCTATCTCAGTTATACATTTCTGAATCTGCCTTCAGTGTGATCAATACAAAGGTTAAGGATTAAAAATGCGTTGTTAAATCTAAGTAAATATTCGTGCAAATGAATTTTGTACAATTTCTGAACATAACAGAATTCTACAGACACTCTAGGGCTATGAATAGGAAAAAAGGGGGAGCCTTTCAGATTTCTTTCCAGTATTCACAGATTGTGCGGCCATACTATTTTGGTAACTCAACATAAAAAGTTAGGCATGCCTATTGAGGAAACGAATGGCTTGAGATAATTTCTATTTGAACAGGATGAGGTGCCTAATCTATGGGAAAGGTGGTGAGTTTGAAAGAGTGGAGGCAAGCAGCCCTACAGAGAAAATACAGTATTTCCCAGTTCATAAGCCGTGAGTGTGATACTAAGATATATCCTTTAACCTGGCCTAGGGGAATGTTCTGCACAAAGCATTATAAACTAAGTTTTAACTTTTACTCACAAAATTATTTTTTCATTGAATATAGAGTGCAGGTAATGGGATAAAGTTGGGGCATAACAGCATATCGTCAAATTCATTTCACTTCTTTACAATGCAGAATGATAAAGGAAGGTTTTGTGTTGTCTCATGCCACCAAAAAATACCAGCAACCCACTAGTGCCTATTTTATTAAGTCTAAAATACCAGCAGGCATATGACAACCTATCACACAAATAAATCCAGGAATGGTGTTGCAGACCCTGTCAGACAAACTAATGCTTCTTACGGATTTAGTGCACTGTTACAAAACCCCCAGTGATTTTAGCAAAGTGACAAAATTAGCAAACATGTTTCCCCTGTATTCAGGTTACTGCAGGCTCTATGTTAAATACACCCTATAGTGCTACGGCTGGGACTGAGATGAACTATAAGCCACTGCAAAATTCTGGGGTGAATTAGGACATATTCAGTGTGTGAAATCCCCAGCAGGGGGGAGAATCCAATTTACACCAATTTTGTTATTCATGGCTGCTCACAGTCATGATTATAAGAACCATTTGCCAGAAAATTGGAAGATCTCCAGCAAATTGCCAGAAGATAATGAAGCATCCCCACATTTCCTAGTCAAATGGACATTCCTTCCTATCTTCAATCACTGTCGTGCAGGCAGCAAAGTACAGAAAGTCAGAGAAGTGTATCTGCATTGCCTAGGCAACTGGGCAACACTTTTGATCTGATGTCACTGTTTTGCAACATGGTGATCATTATTTTGCCTGTGAACAAACCCAGAAGAAATTAGTGTTGGAAGTCATGGATAAGGGAGGAGGCAGAGACACCAGAATGGCTGAACTTTATGCCCCTCCACACACAAAAAAAAAAGCAACAACAAAAATCAGATGCAACTTCACAACCTCTAAACAAGGCTGCAGTAAAGTGCTGAATTGGAACAAACGGCAATCACATTTTCCACAGATTCCGATTTTTTCCCTGATTTAGCATGAAAGAGCAAAAGCAAAACCACTCAGATTCCTGCCTTGAAAGCACGGGGAAAATGGGAACCCACTTGGACCCATGCTTTCTAGACATGGGACGAGTGGAATTGTAGACGAGCCCTTTCATGAATAGAAGCATCCGACTGGCTTTTGTTGGAACCAAAATGCTGTCTTAAATGAACCATGGATTCTTATGTGCCGTATGGAAATATGTGAAGCTCAAAACGTTAATGAGTGGAGATATGTGGAATTTATCTCTTTCAGTCTCTAACCCCTTCCAGGCATTAGTATTTGCATGGAGACAGCTAATGCATTGATAGGAACCCTATCGTTTGGCCTTACCTCCAATGTTTTCAGCCCCATATGTTTGTAGGTCCCAGGGCTCCCAACTACATTGGGTTTGCTTAAGGTTTGCTTGATTCCACCTTCAGAACTTCAGGGTGCAGAACTGGACATGTATGCACAGCATAAAGGACAGCATAGTAGTTCCACCTCTCATTCATGTATTAGCCACATGAATAGGGTTCTGTTTCCTACTCCACTCTCTAAATATTATTATTTATTACGGAGTCCACTAACACAAGAACTGTTTGTAGTCCACATCCATATGGAAATATGGAAGACCTTTTCAGCCCCAAATTATGATCAAAGGGCTCAGTTATCTTAGGCAAGTATCATTATTATATCCTTATGGAACATATGCAGACACTTCACTATCCAGTTTACACACTCAGATTCTCCCTACTGTGGCTACGTAGTTTCTTCCCTGAAAGGAACAGCATACCTAATGTATTTTGGGCACAATTTTAATCTGTGCTGCCCCACCTAAAAAGTGCTTTGAAATGGGGCAGACAAAGATCAATGACCACTGGCATTGCAGGAGATGCACAAACGCAAATATTGACCACTAGGGTGTTAAAATTTATGTTAGACACCAATTGAGATGAGAGCCTACTTTTTTTACCTGAGGACATTAAAAAAAAACCTCACTGAGAGCATTGTTTGTAGAATATGTGGAAGAAGGTACCACAGGATGTTTTGAAAACAATTTATTTGGTCATAAGACCATGCAATGGGAAATGCATTTCAATTTAATTGTTGTTAGATTACCATGATGAAATCCAGTTGATCTCTTCTGATCACTAGCATGTCCTGCTTCCTGAGCTGGTACGTGGCAGGCAGATATTTAGATTTTTCCATCAGAGTATTGAAGGAGTGGAAAGTGAAGTTATAGGTAATCATGCAGGCACTCTTTCTGGAACAAGCACAAGGAAACTTAGCTTTGAGGTGCGCACTAATGTATTAGTATTAGTCACTCTGACTTCTGTGTGACAGAAGAAGAGGATGGGACATGGCTTATTGGAAGACCACAAGCTTTGCAAGCAGGTGGTCCAAGGTCCAATCCCTCGTATCAGGCAGAAAGGGATATCAAAGACTTCTGAGGGAAACCCTGGAGAGCTGCTATAGGTCAAACTAGACAATACTGGGCTTGATTGACAAATGAGTTGATCAGGCATAAAAGCAGCTTCATATGAGGCACTGATATCTGACCTGAAATTTGGAGGCCTGGATCTGGCTTCTCTTATAGATTATAACCATGTAAAATGTTAAGGGAGAACGAGGAACGATTTCATTACAATTTATCCTGTGTTGCAGGCATAATCCACTATTATCGGTCTCCTGAATTTAAAGCAGCTCAATTCTTGTCAGCTTAGTACACATTTAGATGCAAGATATCGTAAAGTTGTATGGTTGTACTACTAAGTATAGCAGCTAATGTGCTATTGCTTCTCATTCACCATGAAGCTTCCACAAGTGGAGGGAAAGAGGTGTTATTTCAGAGGGAAATATGACCCAGTATTTAAAATAGCTAGAGGAGCTTTGAGTGCATGTACCATTTGTTTAAATGGGCTTGGAGATGTTAAAAAATAAACGTTTTGTTTCCCACCAGTTCCATTTTAATCATATATATTTCTTCATTGAGTTTTATTTTAGGCATTATTATAAAATTTTATATTTGAGAGTACTGATACAAATCTTTATTAAAAGCACATATTTTGTCTGTGTAATACCAGGTAGAGTTCTATAAAGCAATCTAAACGTGCACTTTAGACTTAAGGAAAGATAAATGCTAATACAACATAGCTCTGCCTGTTACAGCACTGATAAGTAATCATTTTAAGGAATATTCTTTAGGGTTAAGAAATATTTAGATTAAAAATATTTTGGGGGTAATAAATTCTCTAACCGTAAAAATAAAAATTGTATTTTTACTTCATGATATTTTCTACTAGATGAAAGAACTGTTTGTTATTATCATTCAGCCCAGCTTAAATTGTAACTGCAAGAAAGTGACATAGTCAGTAAGACTAAGAGCACAACATAAACCCACCACATGTAATTCCAATTCTCAGTTGGGGTAGAATTTGCTTCAATGCATTGATAGCTCTCCAAAATTTGCTTCATAGTAATTCTTACAATAATCTTGTAACTCAATGCAGAATCTGTACTAACAGAGGTTAGTTTGATAAGAGAACATTGAGTTAATGGTGTTTTCGTTTGCTTTCAAAACAGCTCTGAAATCTATTTTGCAAATTAACTTATATGGAAATACAAAGATGTGCATACAGGTTTTGGGATGTGTCTATTGTATGGGAGCTTCTTCTTTTTGCAGAGGTTACAGAATGGTGCCTCCTGGCAAAACATACATTGCACAGTGGTCTCTTAACCATTATCACTTTGGAATATTTGTAGCAAACAGATGAGACTGAGGGAAATAGTTGGGTTAAAGGCCATGAAACGCTGGCTCATGCTGTATTCTTGATATGCTTTGATATTTATTGCACTTCTTCACTTTCATCTCCATGAAATATGCAAGAGCCATTCCTTAAGTTAGCAAACGTCAACCTATGACAGGACAGTATCAATGGATGAAATGGACTGCGTAAATTTTGACATTCTATGGATATATAATTGTGAGCCACATGAAAAGAAACTGTGCCATAAGCTTTTAACATGGAGTTTAAACATTATATACAGTAGCTTGTGTGATAGTGAGCCAAGCTTCCTTAAAAGGTGAGAGCAAAAAAAATAAATATGGTTATACTAGTGTGTTAATGACTTGTCTGTGATTTTTAAACATATCATCCTGTGAGTTCTGTCTAGACAGCAGCAAATACCAATTTGTGTCTAGAAGTATTTCTTTTCAGTAAAATCCAATGAAAAGTGTCATGCATGAGTTTAATTAAACTCCTTTTCTTTCTTGTATTCCTATATTCAGCACTACAGCTAACATGCTCTGCTGACAGAGATATTAAGTTGTGTGCTGCCTATGGTGTTCATGTAACTGTATATATTTTGTTCTAAAACAAGAATAAAAGCTACCATTTTTCAAGACTCTGCTCAAACTGTTAACACAATTTAAGCATTGACTATTGAGTGTCAAATCACAAATATTTAGAAAACAAACTGGGGTCAGGGAAAAGAATGCTTTTCTGGTGGAAATACAGGAGCAAACATGAGAGGAAATGGTAAACAAAAATCCTGTGAACTACCTCCTTCAAGAGCAGCCAATATGGAAATTCCCACGATGAGCAACACTCAGTACCCAATACCCAAGTGTCTTCTTAAGTTCAGGGGCTTCACTGCAGAGTGGGAGATGCTTCTAAGGAAATATTAAAAAAATAATGTATACATGTCATGTGGGTGCCATGAGGTGAATAATTTGTCTACAAAAGCAATAGTCCATGGACATCAGCTTGTCTAAGCAGTTATCCTGAAAGAAGACGCATGGGCTGAAATCCCCCAAATACCTTTTAAACTTTAAGTAAGTTAAACTCTGGATTCAGTCTCCAGCAACAACAAGGAAGAAATTTGATTCACTTCACTCTTAAAGCCATGTCTATCAAATTTGTACGTTCCAAAACAATGTAAGAACTGAAAAACAGCCATTTGGACTATAAAATGGTGGTTTTCTTGAGTCAAAATAGAGTACCCCTAGACATTTTTTAAAGGGAAAAAAGCACTATTTTTAGTATATAAATAGATTGATGAATTAGCCACAGCTTACAGTCCAGATAACAACTTTGTGCAAACAGATTGGGGGAAATGCTCATTAAATAGTAAACATCAAACTTCCCTGCAAACTTTGTGCAAACAAATCAGGATGAATAGTTAATAAAACAGGTTGTTTGGAAGCAGACCAAACTTTAATATGATGAAACTTTTCCATATGACCTGATCCTTTTATGGTGGTAGCAAAATACTCTCCCTTCTTTTCCTAGTAGTACTTTCCCCCTGTGCATCTCTAGGCAGTTCTTGGGGTGCATGATATCAAAATCAGGACATGCCCCCCAAGTTACTTTTAGTTTAAGACAATTATGTTTGGAGATCTAATCACAGATTTTTCCACATAAGACGTTATTTGGCTTTCTGTCACACAGTCTGTAACCTTGGATTTATATAGGCATATACATTTGCAATTGTTTACCGTAATTGCTACATTTTCCAAATCATTTATAACACCATTTACCTTGGTGCATTTACACCTCTGAAAATTGGGAAGGAATCAGCTAGGATCAGTGTCATAAATTAGTATAAATATGCACCAAAGACTGAAGTAAGTGTAGACTTATTTTTTATAAATGGACATTAAAAAGCACACAAAAGTTTCTTTAAGCAGTTTACTTGGACCTTTTTCATGCATTCTCCTACTGGGTTATTGGGTGGCCTACGTCAGCAGAAAATAGAAATTATAAGCTATTAAGAGCAACAACACTGGACATGCCATCTCTTCTCCATGTGAATCGCTTCCAAATATGCCGTGTGTATCCATTATGTGGTTTTATTTCACAGCTTATCACTTCCTGAGAATGTCAC